ATACCAGATTCCTGAAAAATCTCAGGCATAATAAATCTTCACAAATGCTAGATCAGTACAGGATGTCTTAACATTGGTTATGACAATAAGAATCCTGCTCACTGATTTTGGTAGAATACACTATATATGATCATTGTTTAATGATCATGATAAACACCTCATACTGATAAGTTCATGTATGACATTCTTTTCTGCAGAATGTACCTTTATCCCAGAATGTTATGACATCAATCATGACATTCGCAACTCTGGTTTTACCAAAAAAAATGCCAACAAACAAACACTTACAATTGTGTACTGTATGTTTTTCGTTACAAAAATTGTATCACTATTGTGATGTATTACACAAATTTTGAGTATAGTATGAATATAAGTTTTGCAGCTTTTTGAGATTGTATTGAGCAGTAGTGTGAAATCGTGAACGATTTACCCTTTGAACTTGTTTATATAGGCATGGAAGTTTGTCCAAATGGAAACGTGATAATGGACACTTCATGTTCTTTCCATACTGAGAAGATCCTTGTCTAATTGTAGCCGCTGTAAGTGATACTGCCTTAATGGAAAAGTAACGCTTCAGAACTTAGGAATCTTGCATGCTGCTTTGCTTCAGAACTTGGGAAGTCAGAAGCATAAGGTTTTGTTAGCGTGTTAGACTTACGTTCAGAATCATAATATCTTTCTCTTTAGCTCAGATTCTAATCATCATACTTCAGAACATTCTGATTACTCGGCTTGAGTGCTTCTGTGGCTTAACTTCTAATGTCATTTCAGTCAGAACTTCTGTACAACATAGAACACAAATTTAGAGTGCATATTTGTTCTTTGTGTTTGTTATCATCAAAACTCTTATGAGGGTTGTAGAATCAAACTATGTTCTATAACTAATTATCATGATGTTCATTTAGAGGTTCTAAGGTCAGTTGACGCTTTATGACACCACACAGTGGCCCATTGTTCTCCTTGATTAACTCAAGGGCTACCTGTACCAACCAAAGAGTTGCATCAACGTAGCCATCGCTTCAACCGTGTCGGTATACCCTACACAGTTTCCACGATCTATTTCTACTTACCTAAAAGGTGCCCTAGATCCGGGTGTAGGATCTATAGTAACCTAAACAAAAGCCCTCAAAAGTAAAGAAATCAAAGCACACAAAGCAGTTAAATAATGAACTAACTCTAAGGTAACCCCACTTTTTATTTATCCCCAACAGAGTCGTCAAGTCTGGGATACGGTGGCAGAACCGACTGTTTATATACTGGTTTTTTGCATTTTTTGGTTCGCAAATGTCGCGGTAAACAAGAGTCGCCTTCATCTTTTCTTTTATCCAACAAAGTAAAGGTGAAAAGAATAGAAAAATACCTTTTCGAGATGTTTTCTGAGTAAGAGGGGTAGATTATGGAAAGGGAAGGTGTTAGCACCCTTTCCATCTGTGGTTTTCCACGGGCTCTTAGAGGTTTGCTCATTTTTTAAGATGCTTTTATGCTTTGTGTGTTTGAAAATGTTTTGAAAATGCCTTAGTACGGCGAACTTTGTAATGTTTCTCTGGATAGTAGAGAACGTATACAAATTGTTTGAAAAAAGTATTTTGAAAAAGTAGTATTCGCGTGTAAGTGCAAAAAAGTGTTTTGAGCAAACTTCTAACAGCTATCTACTTTTGTACTCGAAAAGGTTGTTCTTTTCCTCTTTTCCTTTAGATAGTCTATCCTACTATTAGTGAGTAGGTAGCCCTGTCGTTGAATGTTGAGGGACAATCGAAGGGACGTTACAGTCACGAAGGTAATTTAGGGAGATGCTTTAGCAATTCTGATTTAGGGACTAGATCATTTACCAAGAAGGCAATTGTGGGATCATCGAGGGTCTATGATCTTTTGTTTTTACGGGTCTTTGCTAAAGCATTCCTGCCTCATGACTGTTTTATTGAAGGCAACCAAAGTGGGTGTATCTTAGAGGTGTATATGTGCAATTGTGTTGTGTTTCAGTAATTTTTTTGTTTTTTGGTTAAGTTTGCTAGCGTTTGATTATTAGTCTTATCATACAAGCCTAATTACTAGAAATTAATATGAAAAGCAGTAAAATGCAGAATATAGAGGTCCTACACTATTACAATGCTCCGGGGAGAGGATTTACATTATACAAGGATAATGGGGGATAAAACAGTAAATATCCTAATTTTATCTATTACACTCAGTAAACAGATACAATAATAGTAAAGAGTACAAAATTAAATAAACGCGCGCAAAGTAAAAGAAAATATTTTTGTTGTTTTGGGTATAAAAGAAAATAAGACCTAAGTCTATTTAATTTTAGTTTTAAGAAAAAAAGGATGTTAAAATAATTAATTTATTTATTTACAAAATTAATTTAGTTGGAAAAACAACCAGCCTAATATTTTTTGTGATTTTGATTTTAATGTTAATTAAAAAAAAATAGTCCACTAAAAAAAAAGAAACAAAAGCAAAATAAGAGTACAATGAGGCATCCTTCGATTGGGGTAAAGAAGGGGGGTTCTCGATCCAAAGGGGAAGAGATATGGCCTCTTCAATTCAGGAGAGATGCATTATTTCGATTGGGCTAGGGAGTGGGCGTGAATAGCCTTCGATCCAGGGAAGGGGATTGCCCTTCGATCTTGGGGAAAGGGAACGTCTTTCAATATAGGGATGATGTGTCTCTTTCGATCCAGAAGGGAGTTGCCTTCTTCAATTCAGGAGGCTATGGCTTCAATCCAGAGAAGGTATCTCCTTCGATCTGGGATGCTATAGCTGCAAAAGTACGTTAGCAAAATAAAATGCATGACCTGGGTGTCGAAACCCAAGTCCTTCGATCCTGCGCGCGTTGGGTATTTTCAGGCTAAATCTACAGCAAGTGTTAGCAATCGAAGAACGTTACTTAGGTGTCAAACCCAAGCCCTTTGATCTTTTCTAGGATGACCAATCGAAAGTAATAACAAGTATGGATGTGTTATGCAAATATAAGGTTGGACAATTTACCCTCTCTTACCAGTAGATTGAAACTTCGATTTGACACTTCATGGATGTGAGCACTTTCGATCTGGAACTTCTGGGTTTGGATACTTTTGTCGAAGGGTGGCTTTGGCTTGGAAAATTATGACAACCTTTGATGGATTTTATGGTTAGCGTCTCCCTAATATTTTCATTCTTCCTCCCCCTTGATGCAACACTTCTGATCTCTTTATATAGAGGGGGTAGAGGGGACAAGAAGGCAAAAGTTTAAATAACCTTAATTATGTGTTTGAAAGCCATGAATGAGAATTTGTAATGTTAGCCAAACACGTGGGATCTTGTACCTTTTTTTGGAATTTGAATGATATGTAACTGGCCTTCGAATTCTTATTTTATAATGGGTTGATTTTTTCCTTCGAATGCTCCCTTTCAAATGGGCTGATGGCCCCCTTCGAATGACCCTTTCAAAGCTTCTTTGAATGGACCTTTTCATGTTCTTCGAATGGACCCTTTGAAAGCTTCTTCGAATAGAGCTTTGCATGTTCTTCAAATGGACTCTTTTAAAGCTTCTTGGAATGGACCTTTGCATGTTCTTCGAATGGACCCTTTGAAATGCCAATCGAAGGACACTGTTTCCATGGAAATCGAAAGGTACTTGTTAAAATGCCAATCGAAAATACCTTGTTAACAAGCTAGTCGAAGGGTGCTATGTAGATGCCAATCGAAAGGCATTTTGGAGATGCCAATCGAAATGAATTTTGGAGATGCCAATCGAAATGCATTTTGGAGATGCCAATCGAAAGGAATTTTAAAGATGCCAATCGAAGGGCATTTTGGAGATGCCAATCGAAAGAAACTTGAAAACATCACTCACAAATTTTACTTTTCTTTAGGAAAAGGTTTGTGACCAACCATGTAGAGGAAGACCGTGGAAAATATGAGAGAGAAAATTTTGGGGTACAACACATGTGAAATTTATGCTTGGTCAAATTTTAGTTGACTTCTCCTAAGGAAACCCTAATTTGGCAACTTTTGACCTTTGATGATTTGAGGGCTTTCCTTGAGGAATCATGATCAGCCCTTGATCAAATGATGAATATCACTTAAAAATGTATATTTTGATAAAAAATCTTTAAGTTTGACTGTATATTGACAATAATTGACGTTTTACCCAATATAGTTGACTTTCAATCATCTAAGCCATTCACTGAGCAAACTTATGATGCAAGACTTGAAACTTGACATGAGCACTGTTGAAGACCTATGATGAACCATGAAAACCATTTGAGACCTTTGAAACTCATTCTTCCTTGTTCAAGATGAAACCCTAGTTATGGACCCATTCTTTAGGATGTGAGTTTGTTTGATCAACTCTTGAGAATCCTTGAGCATTTGAGAACCCTATAAGAATGTCTTGAAGAAAATGGGAGGGAAAATTTTGGGGTACAACACTTTCCATATACTAGTGCTCTGCTGGATTCTATGCTTCCTTGTTGAGTGGGTGTTACTATTGAGGTAAAAGGCCCCATACCCATACAAGAGTTGTAAACTCTTAGGAACACATAGGAATAGAGTGGCACATGAAGGCTAGGGGATGTAGATCTTTCTAGTGTGGTCATCTCGTCCATGCTCAATTGAGTTTTTGATGAGGTACTAGCATTATCACATTGGTGTACGATGATAGTATTTTCAAGCGATCTTGGGATTCTGAGTTACCCTTGACCTTACCCTGACCTAGTCTTCACCTGTGACTGAGGCGGGATTGATCTTACACGTATAGTTGGTGACTATTGGTTCTTATGGTTTTGTTATGGATTTCTATTGGTGACTATGGTTCTTTGGTTATGTTCCGAAACTTTGATCTTGATATATATTCAAACTGTTCAACATATTTATACAACAATTATCCACATGATTGTACAATTGTTATTCATGTTATGTTGAACTTTTGAACCAATGGTGTTGCATTGCATCAATCCTCAAAAGAGTTTATTTCTCTTATCATCCATGCATCATCTTGCATCCTATTCATTCCATCCATGAGACTTATTGCAACGTCTTGTTCGTTTGAATCTCAAGACTGATTTCCCGACATCATCGTCATCTTGGATCAACTTTAGGAAGATGTGGTTGAGATGTGAACACAGATGGAGACTCTGATGGACCAATTCATGCAGCTTATTCAGAACCTCGCATATGGACAGGAAGAGTTGATCTTAACCAAATGGAGGTTCCTTTGAATCTAAATGTAAGAAACATCGTTCAAATTCCTGTCAATGAAGCTTCACACCATGAGAATATTTCTGAACCGCCATATGAAACCTTCAAGTTTTCGATTCATGGGACAGTCTGAGAAAAACCTTCACCTCCAGGAGGAGAGGATGAAAGCTATTGGAGGTCGTAATTCCCTTGGTTTAGACACTGCTAGTTTGTGCTTGGTGCCTGATATCAAGATTCCTACTAAGTTCAAGGTCCCCAGTTTTGAGAAGCATTAGGGTACCACTTGTTCGATGGCTCACATCAAGGCCTACTTGTTGTACCCAAATTTCCCCCCCTAAGATTCCTCTATCATATCATATCAACTCAATCATAACAAGATCACACTAGGGTTTATTTCTTTTCCTTATCTTCATGCTTTGCTCACTGGGAATCACCAAGCACATTAATTTATATTTTGTGATCGTCCATGTTTTCTATTGATTAACTTTTGACTAATAAACAAAATGAATGTTTGTCGTAATTGATGATATTATAGGTGAAAGCATCACATATTCTATCAAGTTGATCTATAGGTTCATGAGTTTATTTCCATGCCTTCTTCAACAAAGCTTCATTGATATTCAAGGTTCATCATTGAAGATACTTTAAAGTAATATCATGTCAAGGTCTACTTTGATTCATCATGCCTCAATTTTCAAAGAAAGTCAAAGGATGCAAAAGTTGATTGAAGAGTTTTGACCTAGTTGGACAAGTTCTTGATTTCTTGATCACAAGTGCATAATTCCCTCAATTCTTAATATTTTCAGTTGGTTTTTGGTGCTATGGTTTCCCATTATAATACTAAACGACTTCTATTTACAATACAAAAGTATTTGTGCAAGAAAGTTTGTCAAAATTGAAAAGGGTTTCTAAGGAATTTTGGTGCTCTAGGAGCCAGGGTTTTGAACTTCTAAGGGCAATATCTTGATCATATTTTGGTATTTTTGAGTGATTCCAAAGACATGATTACTTTTAAATGGTTATAAATAAATCACTTCAAAACTTTCAAGAATATTTGAGGTGGAAGATGCCTAATGATGAAGAAAGATTACAAGTCCTCTAGATATGCCATCAAATTCCCTTATGTGACTTCAAAAGATCATAACTTGGTCAATTTTAATCTCCCTAAGCCCATTATTTTTCCATAATGATCTTAAAGATGTGAACTTAAACTCTTATTTTATTTTCTAAGCTTGTAAATGGATGGAATATTCCCTAAGGATGCAAAAGATTATAGGTCATCTCATCAATTTTCACCAACTTCACCAAGTCATAACTTTCTCAATTGTTGGAGTTTTTGAATGGTTCAAGTCTCAAAATGTCACTCAAGAGGTCTACTTCATGCCATATATTTTGGTCAATAGCAAATTTTAAATGGATAGCCATGTTAGGATGAAAACCATTATAGGTCATTTTGAAGAAAAATAGAGAATTTTTCTATGTACAAAAAGTCAGCATATGTTTCTCAACTTTGACTCATCACAACTTTCAGCTCAAGAATCCATTTGATTCCATTCTTTGCACATTTTAAAGTTTGTGATCTCATCTTTCCAATGCATCAAGAATCAAGTCCTAATGTTCTCTAAATCGTGCACACCATTGACTCAAAGATGGTACCTTGAAACTGATGTTTTCTCCAAAGTTAGAATTTGAAATCCTTGATTTGGCCTCTAAACATAAAATTTATGCGCGTTTTTACTTGTAATCATGTTTAATGAACTTCCAGAAATGATTAGCACATTGAAACACAATCTTTGGCTGAGTTTTGAGCAAAATAGAAGTCACACTTTTCATGTTTGCAACTTCACGCGATTTCCCTCAAAACTTCATCATTTCACACGCTTAAGCATTCCATTAGTTTCCCTATGAAAAGAGGGTCATACCTCATTCATTTTCTCAAGCTTGAAGAGCAAAAATCACTTTATCAAACTCCCTCCATAACATCCTTTTTCTGAGATTATGAATTCCTATTTTCTCCACTTGTCGATTCAATATCTTCATTGATCTTTCATCCTTGAACTTCCCTAAAGCTTACAGAAGAAGAATCAAGCCTTGAGGTGCCCGAAATCATGCTAGCCAAGACCATTTACAGAGCAACTTCATCTGACTTCGTTCAGGTAGTTTAAGGCATTAAATATTTTAACTCAAATTACTGGAATGGTCTATGATGTTTACTGGTGCTTTCTATTAACTAAATTTTGGTGAATCAATGTGTTTGATACTTCTATTTTCAATTTTAAAAATTTTAAAACACCTTTGATTTTTTTCAAATCGAGTAAGTTATGTTTTATATAAATTTGGCGCAAGGATATAGTTGTGATCTTCTTGAAGAGACGCGTCTAATGATACCACTATTAGCGTCTAAATTTACAGATTTAAGGATTATGATTTCGCCCTAGCTGCAGGGTAGCTAGAGGTTGAAGATGACATACGTGGCCTTTTCAACCAATGAAAGCGTGACAATTAAAATGTTGTGATTGTCCTGACTTTCGTGACTTCAGTGTACGTTTGTTGACCAGGGATCACCATATATCTTTGTTTTTGAGCCTTTTGATATGCCAACGTGTTTTAGTGAATTAGATCTAACACCACACATTATTTCTGATTTATTTAATTTTATAAAATTTGTTTAAATTTCAAAAATTCATAACTCTTTTATTTTTTTATCCAAAAATTATAAAAAATATATACAAAAATACTTTGAACTATTTATGACTTTGTGAATATTTTTATTTTAAGATTTGATATTTCTGACAATTTTTAAATTCTTAAACTTTTTATAAAAATCATTTTCATTGTTTCTGACTTTCTGAATTTTTTTTAGAATTTTATTCTGACTTTTACTATTTTTGATCTTTTTTCACTTATTTGAGCAATTTAAATTAGTTTAAAAATAGTTTCTGACTTTAAAAAAATTACCAAAAAATTCATAAAAATATTTGAGTTCATTTCTGATTTTTCTATGGTCTCACTTAATTTTTCTTGAGTTTTATGAATATAGTTTCTATTTATTTACCTTATTTCAATATTAAAAAAACCCATTTCAAAAATCTTTTACTTTTATTTTAAATACTATTTAATTTTTGTACGTATTCAGACTATTTTGACTTTTGATCATGGATTTTATTAAATCATTGGATCTTGGGTGTTAAGTTTAACTCCACCAAAAGGGATGAATGATTTTAATGATAGTTTGATTAATTTTTTATTTCAAATATATCCTTTCCCTCTTCATATTATCCTCTTCTTATTGTGTCAATTGTTGAATAGAGGATGATATACATATCATCTCTCCAAACATATAACACATAAATTGCTATTGACCGACTTCAAAATAGGTGTGACTTCTATATAAGTCCATTTACGATTGGTTAACATAACGCTAAATTTTGTCTCGATTTGAGAAATGATCATTCCTGGCCCAAACATATATTTGCTAGCCCAAGTATGTTAATTTGAAACCTTTGGTCCAATAATCTTGTGATTCATTGTTAGGAGGCTTTGATCTTATCAATCATCTAATGAATCTTCATAAGCTTTGGTCAAAGTGAATCACTTAAACATTGTTGATCATTTATGGTTGCCTTGAGAATTTTAAATGAATGATATACTTGACAAAAAGCAAATAAAACTTGTTGATAAGAGGCTTTGGTTTTATCAATCCTCTAATTAGTTTCAAATGCAATTTTCAAGATGTTCATTCAACTAACCTCTAATTTCTAACAATTGAATTTATTTTATTTCTTTACTTTATGCTCTTTACTTTAAGCACATTTATTATTAGCATTTACATTTCATGCTATTTTTATCTTTTCTCACTTGAGCATTTATTTTTGTGTCATGTTTTTTTTTTCTCACTTGAGCTTTTTATTTCTTTCTTAAGATACTTAATAATCAACTTTAACCATAAAAAACATTAATGTTACTTGGACTATTTGGCTACTATCCTTGGCATTATGGAGTGATGGACTTCTTGGACTTAGTATTAGAGACCTTGACCTACCTTGAGACCTTGTGACCTTGTGACCTCAACTGTTATTTTGTCTTGAGAACATGGGGTTTACTCCAAGACATTGGTTTGTTTGTTTGCTTTGTGTGCAGGTTATTGTGATTACATGCTTTGTTTGTGATCGAGAATTCCTCTGTATACAGTCGTTACTCTGCCTAATTTTTATGAAGACTTAATGAAATTTAAGCTTGGTTTTCTTAAGAGGTTTATTATCTTTGCTTGTTTGGTTTCAAATCCAATGGATGGGAATTCTACATTGATTCATTGTGTCAAGTGTTGGCTTCTTGTTGGTTATATGGTTATTTTCCCTAGCTTTTACCTTATGCTTTAGGATAGTCCCTTCATCTTCTCCCATCTTATTTAATTTCAAAAATCTTCTCCATCCTTTCCAATATTATTCTTGTTTTCTAAACTTGAACTGCTTTCACAATAAACTTGGACATATGTCCATGCATTTTCAAAATATTTTCTTAATCAAACTTCAATCAATTTAATAATACTTTGACATTTTTTTGTGAGAAGACTAAAACTCAATCAAACTATTTTGCAACTTTGGCCTTTTGCCTTAAACTTTTCTTAAAATATTAGACTCTTGTCAATCCTTGTAGTGATGCGAGCTATTATAATTCTACGATATATAGTGAAGTGAGATATTTTCCACTTGGGTGTTGAGTGAAGCTTTCTTGAATTTAAAATCCAAGTTATATCCTCCACTTTGATATGACGCAAAATCTCCTTTCTCATAATCGTGGGTAGTAAGTATGTTTTCCACTCGGATACAACGATGATGTCTTATCTCATAAAATTAACCAACACACTTGTGTTTTAAATTTTTTTTCTTCTAAAGGTGAACTACGAGTACCCTGATCCTCTATTACACGGAAGGTGGTGCGTAGGCACTAAAGGTTGCAACCGCGGCGGCTGCAAAAATCATTAAAAAAATACTTCTTTTCTCATCTCCGCAATCTATTTTTGTATACAACTTTTATAGCCAAAATACACAAATTTTCAAAGAGGTTCCCATGGAGTACGTAGATGTTTAGGGTGATAATACCTTCACTTTTCATAAACAACCCCCAAACATA